CCCCAAAACCCCAAAACCCCAAAACCCCTTAAAGCTGATTATGATCCAAATTTATGAAATCAAGAATAAATTTATGAATAATTATCAATCTCTTTATATGTCTGTTCTTACTTTTCTAACTTTTATTTCTTCTCATTTGATTTTCCCATAAACTAGGTCCAGAATCATGTCAAGACTAAAGATGAGTATTTCTACTTTCTCTTGAATTCTATGCGATTCATTATAATCCATCATCTAGTTGTTAATTACATCATTCTCTATCCAAGATACCTCACTCTATTTAAAACAATAAATCTCAATGTCAATATTCTTACATTTTGATATATTCTGACTAGGGCTATTCCTGTGTAGTGAATGAAATTTAAGTATAATTAGTGCTCACTCTCCAAGATAAATGAGTAGTAGACTCTCAAAAGCTTAATGAGTATCCTCTAAAACGTGTTATCTCTATCTTTTATAATCAGATCAAGATAATGCCTATCTTTCTTGGTTTGGGCTAAGTTTTAGATCATAAAACTCTCAGTTTCTTAGCCTTTCTTGAGTACAGTAAAAGTTTCAAAAGGATTGAGTTGCTCCTAGTTGACGATACCTGAAACAGGAACTATTTAGAAGTTGCAGGCTTTTACTTTCCTTTTGAGATTATTTATCCTTTCAGATATTTATGGCCCGCTTGCAAATATCCAAGAAACAGTCTACATATGACTTTAAAGTAAAGGATTAAACTTACTAAATGGAAGCAGCTCTCGAGTTAATACTTAGTATCATGCTGTAAAAAATATGCTCCAACCACTTTGGTATTACTTTCATCTTCAATGTATGCAGTGGTGGCATGCTTGTGAGATTTATTTTCTCCTTTTAAGTTACCTTTTTAAATTTCTATCAAATTGATGCTGTTCATATTGTGGTAGTTGTTGAACTTTGAATTCTTATTCTTAGTTAACAAATCGAATAGTTGATTCTTAAGATTCAAGAAATGCTCTTTCTCTATTTCTTCGTTATATTATTAATCTTCTACCTCGTTGAATCTTTGATTGTAATCAGATGGCTGAACAGACTTGATAAGATCATCCTACTACATTGATTCAAGTCTTACCAAACTCATACTACCTTCATTTTACAGTGTTGGTAAAGTCATATTCGTGTCAAACTTCCCTCCTTAGAATAGTTAGAATGAAGATCCAACCATACTAGACTAATTAAAGCTCCCCATATTAGGGCTTTAATTACTATTCTATGCATTTAAGCTCTGTGCTTAGTTTTTCATCATTTACCTCATACTAAGTTACTACCCACCTTGCCAGCTATTGTTATTATTCATGTGAAAGATCACAAAATGTTACTAAGGCATCTTGATACAGACGCTCAATGCATTTTTAAAATCGTTTAGCACCTCTCCAAGATTTGCTAGAGATTTGAAGTTAAAGAGTCTGGACTCTTAAGATATTTTGACTTGAAACTTTGAGGTATGATAGTTAAAAAGCAAGTATTTGAAATCAGCAGATTTTATGGCATTTGTATCCTCTCTATCCATTTTTGTATAAGTATTCATCATGTAGTTTTAATCTTGAGGCTACTTAAGCACATCATATTTGCTGCAAATGCCCATTTTAACATCACTGTTCCAAAGCTTCTTAAAGTCCACATAGCATAGTGATTCATTATTGATTAGCTGGAAATTTTAAGTAAGTCTCAGACATATGTATTCAGTGAAGTATTACTCAAAGTTTTGAATAAGTCCTCCTTTTCTAGACACCACGCTTGCCTAGGAGAGCTCATAGTGATACTTATTCTTGTTTCTGAGTTATGATTCGTGAGGGAAAAAATCAGTAGTTAGTGGAAGCAGTTTACACTCACAAATATTCTTCCAGAATCCATCCATTATATGCTCCAGTTGCTATATCTAACCCATCTTAACTAGAGTATCGACATCTTTATCATTGAAATCAGAGTAGAAGTTATACTATTAGACTTTAGGGTAGTGCTTCCATCTATTTTTATTCGCACTTTCCTTGGAAAGATTGCTCTAGATTTACTAAATATTTTGACTTTATTTCATATTCTTAAATCCTTAAACTTGCTAATAATTTCTCTTTGCTTTGGCCTATACATTATGGCTTTCATCCTCTTATTTCAATAGGAAGGGATTGAATTTAAGGTCATTTGTCATAGATTTGTCCACAGACTCATAAGATAAATGATGATTCTGAGGGATATGAGTACCTCTAGGAGACATTAAAACAGGAACTTATGTGAATCTTAAGTCTTTTGATCCTTGTATAAGAATGTTTCTACCTGAGCCTTTACTTTCATTTGAAAAATTGTTAAGTCCATTACTATCTCTTATCGCAGCAAGTTGATTAGATTAGTTGCCTTCAGTTTGATCTCTCCTAGGTAGCAAATCATCGAACAGCTTTCTATCACTTAGGCTTTGATTAACTAAATTGTTACCGAATATAAATTACGATTTGAGCCACTATTCATAGAAAATCCTTGAATGTTAGACTACTCTTCCTCTGTGATGTCGTCAAGATCATTTGATTTTTAACCATAGCTAATTGCATCATACTAATTGACTGTTTCAATTGAAGAGAATCTGAATTAATCTAACTGCTCATTCAATTCTATGAAACTTTTTTTCTTGTTAAAATGATGGATCGACTATTCACCTCCAAAGTCATTATTCTTTAAGTGAATAGATGATGAATGCTTGTGATTAATAAAACTCTAGCAATATTTTAAATAATATAATCTTACTTTTTCAATTGTTGCTTGAACTAAATTTTGCTTAATTCTGTTCGGACGATTTGTAAATAATTTATCATCTAATAAATAGAATTATAAAATTTATTCATACCTTGATCATCAAAGTACCTAGATAAGTCCTAGCCTCTTTCCTTGATAAAAGTAGCTTGCTTAAGAATGTATTCATCTTAGTTTATGGTAATTACTTTACTTTAAATTTCCTTCAAATCTTCATTCATTTCATCCTCATTTGTTTACGCCTCTTCTTTAATAGCATTTTTAACTTTTGAATAGTCTAACTGATGATGTCCCTAGTTGGATTTTTAAAGCTTTTCTATTAGTTTTTACTCCATTTTATTTATATCGTTTAGAAACTGATAATTTGAGTGAGGCTTGAATTTGATGTTGCTTGTTAGCTTTTAAACTTTGTATATTGCATTGAAAGGGTTAGCAAGACATTAAAAGTGTGTCTCAAAAAGTTTTGTACTATAGAGATATACTATGTCGATCCAATAAGGGAAAAAATATGCAGGGTAGTTATTATTCTACTTGCTCTGTGTTTATGGAGACTCCTAAAAACTTCCATTCAATTTTTCGATGAACTGCTTAGATCCAATGCTAGTTGGTGACTCGATAATTTAATGACCCCCAGCAAAGCCATTTTTAATCAGAACTCCTTAAGTTTTAGTCTTAAAAGGATTTTTATAAGTGCAGCAATTGATGAGTAGAGGAGTTTTATACGCAGGCTTTTTATTCAAAGATATAATCTGAATAGGTACACCACCAAGCAAGACTCTACTTTTTGTTGGTTCTACAATATCAGCATTTACTCTGTACTGGCCTGTTCCTCCTGTAATAATCATCAACTATTATCCTGTAGTCTTGAGATTCTAATCTTCTTCTTCATTATTCAAATTGAAAAGTGCAAGATTTATAGCTTCAAGAATGTTCATCTTTTCAGCATTACCAAGTTTGCATTCTATCAGATAATGATTTTCATTCACCTCTCTAAAAGTATCATGAAACTAGTGCTTATTATTTTTGCAATTCATATTAAAAGTATGATGTAAATTCTCCTTGGGGTATTACTACATCAAATCTTTTACATGCTAAGGACAGTCCTTTTTCCAATTTATCATTGATGGATAGTAGTGAAAGTATCTCTACAAATTTCCTAGGATTTTATCCCAATTGTTTCTTCCTAATTCAAATAAACCAACCTTCATAAATACATCCTAGAATATCTTAGTGTGCTTTGAGATCTAAAACGCCCCTAGCTCGTCAATTTGATCGTCTGTTAACATTTCTTCAGATTTATAATACTCTGAAAGATGAAATCTAAGCTCTTCCTAGTTAGTTACCTAGGGATAAAATAATCTGGAGAATATAACAATAGTAATTTCATGAGTAGCAGATATTTTCTGGCATCTTTCAAAATAAGACTTTATGAACTATAGACACTTTTCATAGTTTATAAATCCATTCTCATCAAAGGAATACATGTCCTCTGATAATTCAACAAGAATGTATATCTAGCATGATCTAGTAAGGAATTGAAACTTAGACTAAGTTGTTTTAATGACACCATTGAGAATTTCTTGACCCTCTTTGTTAAATAACCCCCTTACTCTGAATCTGATTCCACAGTACTCGAAGTTTTTATATTTATAAAGAGTCTTTCCATCTAGGGAATTTAAAATATACCACATATCTCTTCTAGATACATACTGATCTCTAAGGGATATTTCTACTCTTTCTACTATATAAGATTCTAATGGAAGTTGTGGTAAATATTCGAATTCATCAATTGAGCTAATCTTCTAGTTCATTGAATGCTCCAACTTTGCCTAATTTTGACTTGCTCCCAACTCATTTATTTCATTGTTCTCTTAAATTATTCTCATTTTGCAAGCTTAATTCTACTTCAATCCATAGAGTTCTGATATATTCTTAATTATAGATACTTATATCTTCTATTGCCTTACTTGATCATTTTTCTATGCTTTGAATGAATCTTTAGTGAGCTTAAAAATGATTCTCTTAAATATTTGATTACCCATCTGATTATTAATGGCATTTGGATTTAAGTTTGATGAAGAGTGTGGATGATTGACTTGAATTGATTATTGAGATTAATTCATCATCATTTAGTTGTTTACTTAGGCATTAGCTTAAGTTAAACTCGCAAAAGAGATCTCAATAAAATCTCCTTCTTTTAAGGGCATTTCTTGATATTCCCCACTACTTGTCTTATACCTGTAATTAAGAGCCTAATTAAATAATATCTCCTCTTCTGAGTAATCATTGTTGTGATATTGCAGACTAAAGACCATATTTTCAATTGTCTGCCCAGACTATCCTGCTTTTCTTGGAGCTGCTGCCTCTCCTTCAGGTTAATTGACTAGTTTTTACTTCCATTTAGAAATCTTGCCAGTTTATGCTTGATTACCTTGAGTTTTCCACATTTTATCAATAAATATTACAAGAAATATTATTAATTTATAAAACAACCTTACAATTTACATAAATTTTTATAAACGGGGTTTTGGGGTTTTGGGGTTTTGGGG